AATCTCCCTTGAGGTGTTATTTCATAAAATCCTGGACGAGGAAGGGAAGGCTCTCTATTGTTCTGATCTTCCCAACGGGAGGGCCTTGTAGAGGAGGCTTTCTTCGCTCTCTTTGCGCGTGCCTGTCTGCGTATCCTTGCAGAGCACGATGAGTCAGAGCAAGAGCTGGTTGATGAAGAAGAGGAGGAGGAGTCACTAGAACTAGAACGATCCCGGCGCCTCCTCTTGCTCTTGCGGGAAGGAGCACGCGCACGGCGCCGACTCGGGGCCCTAGTGCCTATCATCCCCGATGTGGAAGGGAGCGCTGAACCCGCGCGGCGCCGATCCAAAGCCCCAGCGCTTGCGCCCGATGCTAAAGGGAGCGCTGTGCCTGAAGGGAGCTCTGCCGCTTGTATTGGCTCCTCCTCTGAGGCAGTCCCTTGGGCCGTGGGAGGAGCCGGCGCCGAGAGCGTCGGCATCGGAGGCGTGACGCCGGTCTCCTCTCGCGCACGCGCGGGGCGTGCTTTAGCTGATCTCGGCTCTCTTTCACTTTCGTTATCCTCCTGTGCTCGCGCGGGGCGAGCGGAGGTTGCTGCCGTCTCCTCAACATTAGTAAAGCCACGTGGAGGAGTCTCCTTTCCCATCTCGGCTGAAGGGACCAGCTGAGGGGCTGCGGCCACGGTTCCTGCCGCTTTCTTTGGGAGCCTTGCCGTGGCCGATCTGCCCTCAATATTTTTCAATTTCTTAACCTTTTTCGCTGACTTCGATTGGGACGTCAGACCAGGTAAGTTCTTGTCTTTAGGCTCATTAGATTTTATTATAACAGGGAGAAGCGCCCTTTCATAGAGGGCAGCCTTTAAACGAATTTCCCTGTTCTTCCTTGTTTGTGGGGTGAAGGACTGGCATATGGAGCAGGCTTGTGATAAATGTCCTTCACCCAAGCAGGCGATGCATAGCGAATGTGCATCATTATCTGGGTAATTGCTCTGGCAGGCAGAGCAACGTTTAAAGCCCTTTGTAAGGGACATCGTAAAAATAATCTCTAAATTAACCGTTCTGAACGGCAGGAAGATCCGGGCTTGCTGCTCTTAGGCGCGGATGAAGAGATCTGGAGGCGGTTGGCCAGCTGCGGGCTATTTATGCTATCTTGGGGAGTGTGCGCGGGGCCAACCGCTTTTCCTTTTGAATTTTAACTGAAGATTCCGGATGAGGCTGCGCATGCGCAGAGAGAGTACCATTAGTGCGCATTCACAGCACAGACACGTAGGGAAAGTAAGTGGTTGAGTTGGAGTGGGGAAGGGGGTGGTTAACGTTATAGTAAAAATGATGTTTATTGTTGTTAGTGGGTCTGATACCACGGTACTGACCTCTGGAGGGAAGAAGGGGTCGTGTCAAAGATGTAGAGGGGGCATATGGTGTTTGCTGTCCTCTATAGAAGGAAGTGTTGAAAGGTCTGTTGTAGTATTGGGGACGGTAATAATAAGAGCCCCAGCGTTGGCGTTGGTAGGTGTATGCCTGCTGGTCATACTTGTAGACTATTTGTTTCATCTTGTGTTAGTGTTGTAGTTGTGAGTCAGTTTCAGGATTAAAGAGTCCTACTTCATGCATTAGGAAGTCTCCAATAAGTGTGTAATGAGATAGGGAAAAAATAGCAGCTCGAAACCAGGCATGGCGACGAAGGGCCACTGAGCCTGCTATGAGTTTGACTGAGGTGTCAGCTGTGTGCTTTGCAAGGTCTTTTGAAGGCCAGATAACAGGAGAGCTTCCTGTTTAAAGGCTTTAGCCAAAGGTTGTTCAGATGGAGATAGTAAGTCTAGATAAGGAGAGGTTTTGTTCCATAGAAAAGTTTATAGACACTCATATAGGCTCCATAATGGGCTATGCATGCAAAAAGGCATGCTGAGGAATAAATATTTTTATTTGTTTATTTGCCATGGAGTGCAATTTTTTTCTTTTTCTTTTCTTTTTTCTTTATTAGAAGGGAAAGTCTGGTTTTTCTGTATAGGCTTTGGTTGAGCATCAGTTAGTATAGAGTTTGCTTGGGCATCTTAGATAGCCATGAAGCTGAAGAGAGATCAATACAATAAAAAAATTTTTTATTTAAATTTTATTTCATTATTATTATTATTATTTTTGTTCCTTTGGGAGTTGCTGGAACCATAGGCACAGCAGCTCCTGTATTCTTAAAAATTTTGAGAAGATAGGGCAAGGTGGGCAAGACAGTGGATATGGGGGTTTGTTGCTCAATAGAGGAGAGACATGGGTCTGCAATTGTATCTGATGGTTTTAGTGCAGAAAGGTTGAGGGCTCTGGCAAGTCTTATTAGGAGGGCTGAGAATTTTTGAAATCCTCTAACTGTTGGGGAGAGGGGTCAGGGTCTGGGAGGGGATCCTGAATAAATGGCTGAGGTTCTGGTTCAGTTTGTTCTTCTGGAGGATGAGAGAGTGTGGCAGTAGGAGGTGCATGTGGGGGCTGTGGGTATTTATCCGGTGGATGAGCATTGAAGCCTTTGTTGTGATATATAGTGATCAGGGGAGAGAGAATGAGCCCTCTTGGGAGGAGGGATGGGGGAAGTTTAAAACAGAGGCTGGATGGCCATCTGTCAGGGGTGATTTGAATGTAATATTACATTTGAATGTAATATTCCTGCTTCTGGCAGGGGGTTGGACTGGATGGCTCATGAGGTCCCTTCCAACTCTATGATTCTATGGGGGATGGTTCGTCAAAGGAGAGGGAGAGCAATAGCGGTGCCGGGAGGGCTGTGCTGATGAAATGGGATGGATGGAGGGAGGAGTCTCCCGCGGTACCGGGGACTCTGGCAAGTCTGGGAAAAGCGGTGGGGAGGGCTGAGAGGCAGGAAGGGGAGGGGGGGAAATGGAGGGATCGGCTGTAGGTTGAGTTTCTAGCTCAAGATGAGGAGCCAAGAGTTCAAGGGGGAGGAGGGGGGAGGGATCCTCCATTTGGAGGATAGTTGGGGGAGGCTCCTGTAACTGGAGCATGGAACCGGGAAGCTGGGGCATCGGTTCCAGTGCAGGGGGACTCAAGGGCTGAGTGCCAGTGAGTTGCCATCCCTTTTTTGATTTATTTGCTTTTTCTTTTGATTTAGCAGACCTCATGGATAGTTGGGGGAGGCTCCTGTAACTGGAGCATGGAACCGGGAAGCTGGGGCATCAGTTGCAGTGCAGGGGGACTCAAGGGCTGAGTGCCAGTGAGTTGCCATCCCTTTTTTTTGATTTATTTGCTTTTTCCTTTGATTTAGCAGACCTCATGGTTTGTTTGAGTTTTTTTTTTCTTTCTATCGGCATCTCCGCTAGGGAAGCACTTGCCGTAGTTGAGTCACGCCTATCCCCAGCATGTGGGGAGGGAGGCTGAAAAGGCTCTTGCAAAGGGGAGGACTGGGTGAGGAAGGGAGCCGTTTGCAGCGGCAAAGCACATTCATACAGGAGGGCTTTAGCAGAGTCTCTCCCAAGTTTTGAGTCTCTCCCAAACAAAGGAAGCATTTAGTATGCCTATCAGCCTCCGGGAGATTACCTCCACAGGCTGAGCAGTTTCTTTCTTTCTTTTTAAATAAAATAAAGGGAAGATATTCTAGCCTGAAAAGAGTCGTCAGCCGGTCCGTGGTCGGAGTGGAGAAGGTAGGCAATAGAGGAAGAACAGTCCAATAGGTGAAATAAGTCAGAGAAGAAGTTCATAGATGCTGCAAGTTTAGCGCGGAAAAAGGAACTACCGGCCAAGCCGCATTTGGCGGCATATATACTGGGGGGGCGGGGGATGGGCGGGGCTTACATATATTCTTAAAATAATCATTAAAAATTGATTAAAACTCTAGAATGTTCCAGATTGCTGCGCAGGCGCACAGGAAAACCCATAGGTGCGAATTTCACAGATGACACGACGAGGAAACAATCATACCAATTATTTTATTTGATCTTGATTAAAAATGTAGTTTCTGTTATGTGATTGTTAAAAAAAATAGAAAAGTGTACTGTCTTAAGAAATCCACTCCAATTATCACTCATTTATGTATTGTCTTTTACTTAGTATGGGACTCATTCTCTTTGAGAAGAGCCAAAATAACCAGGCTATATTGGGGTACATGGGGCTTCCTTTGAAGACAGCCCAGAAACTTCATCTAATCCATCAGGCGGCAGCCAGATTTCTAACTGGGGTGGTGTACAAGGAATATACTACTCGTCTGTTAGATCAGCTCCACTGCCTGCCAATCCACTACCGAGCCCAATTCAAAGTGCTGGTCTTGGCCTATAAAACCCTATATGGTTCTGGTTCAACTTACCTGTTCGAACATATCTCCTTCTATGAGTCTACAAGAGTTTTAAGATTGACTGGGGAGTCTCCACTCTCTGACCTAACCTCCTTGCAAGCGTATTTAAGTGGAATGAGAGACAGGGCCAGCGGTGGACCCTCGGCTGTGGAACTCCCTCCCCAGTGACATCAGGCAGTCCCCACCCCTCCTGGTTTTTAGAAAGAGACATAAGACCTGGCTATTTACATATGCCGTCCCTAATTCTTCTAATATTTGATAGCTTTAGTATGCTCAGGAATTAAGTTTTGTCTCTTTTATAGCAAGTCTATACTTTTTGTAAAGACTATTTTGTGATTAGGAAACTACAGAATGAGACTTTAACAGCTTGAATAATGAACTATGGATTTTGGGAAATGATTTGTACTTGAGATCATGACTCGGGTGTTTTATATGTGGTTTTTAATCTGCTTGATAGATTGTTACGAGTTTTGTTTATATGCTTAGATTGTTTATATTTTTATGAGATGTGATTTATTGTTTAACTGTGCGGCATCGAATTTTTGCTGAATTTGTAAGCTGCCTTGAGTCCCCCCCTCAGGTTGAGAAAGGCAGGGTAGAAATGAAGTAAAGACATAATAAATAAATACTATGTAACAAGACTTTCTGATAGTGTAGTTGCTGCTTTGCATCAGAAAGAAAAAAATGTATTTGTCTACTCCTTCAGAAATGCAGAACCTGGTTACTGAATTATTATTACCTGTGCCAGGGATGATCTGTGTTGGCATGAGGTTCTCTGGTTCATGCGACTGACCCTTTGCACATTTCAGCCATGAAAAAACTTCTTCATCACCAATATCCTCCGCTTCTGAAACAGATAGTTAAAACCTTTAATTGTATAAATGGAGCCACAGTGCCGTGATGGGTTAAACCCTTGTGCCAGCTGAACTGCTGACCTGAAGGCTGGCGGTTTGAATCTGAGAGACTGGGTGAACTTCAGTCTGTCAGCCCTAGCTTCCCATGTGGGGACATGAGAGAAGCCTCCCGCAGTATGGTGACACATCTAGGCATCCCTTGGGCAATGTGTCTGCAAACAGCCAAGTCTCTCACACCAGAAGCAACTTGCAGTTACTCAAGTTGCTTCTGACACGATAAAAAAAACTATATAAATAGTTATGTGTGCAACATTAGATCAGAACAACTTCAGACTTTGTAGAAAACTCTTAAGACTGTACCAAGAGAAAAAAAATAGGTGTAGAGACTAAGAGGCTCATGCACAATTTAAATGGCTAAGTTCATTACAGAAAGAAATCCGCTGACAGTGGTGTGATGAGGAAATATAGGAAAACAGCATTAGTGTGAATTAACCCAACTCTCCCAACCTGCAGCATCTTTTCTCTCAAACAATATATGGAAGCAATGGGGGAACATTTCAGGCTTAGGGGACCAAATCTGTGGTTCTGAGGTCTGGGAGTACCCTAGATGGGGCTACACTCCTCCCAAAACATTGACACAGTATTGAGACACTGTCAGATCCATCTCTATCACCAGAGACCCAGGTGTATTCCATGGTTCAGAGTGCCTGGTGTCAGCTTTGGCTTCATTGGGAAAGCCACAGGAAGATGCTGCTGTTGTTCAGCAGATGGAAATCATACAGTCTTGCTGACCTCCTACAGAGCATCTAGGCCACACTCCTGTGTGCTTATTATAGTGCATATATAGGCCAGTATAGTTATGATCTTGCATATAGTTATGCAACCAATTTTATAAAGAGTGACACAGCCTTAAACTCACCCATTTCAGCATCACCACAAAACAATCATTTAAGAAGTAAGAGATAGGCCTGTATGTGTGCTTGCAGAACAATTAGCTGCATAGGAACCACACATATGTAACCCCCATGTTCAATAATTTCCCAATTAACATACCACCTGATAGAAATTTATCCTTTGTCTATCGCTGAATTCACTTTCCCATGAAACATTCCCTTAAAAGCCAAATAGCTATCTCAGATTTTCAGTTTTATAATAAATACAAAGTACTCACCAGTGCGTGGACGGCTTTTCCTGAGACGATAACAATCAAGACATACCCCAAAGCCACATTTGCGACAAACCCAGTGAATATTGAAGAGTGTTGTTTCACATACATCACACATCTCCCTCACACCACGTACTGCCCTCTTCCAGGCCACTTTCTCTGCAGTAAGAAAGGGGGGGGGGGGTTAGTTCAAGGCTGCACATAACTGAGTAAAATTCCGAAATTGAATGGGGAAAAACTTTCCATTGATAAATCTCCCTGTACGTGTCTAAGTTCAGTTCTCTTAAAGGGACTGGACTGGTTTCACATTAAGACACATTTGGACTCAAAGCCCTGAAATCAACTCAATATACTTTACTGATTCTGTTATGATTATATCTGAAATCAACCTACTGACAAAAAATGTTTTAAGATTACAAAATATCAACATGTTAAAATACCAATGGATAACTGTTAGTTGCACTGGATTCCCAGAAATTATCCCCCACCCTTGAACCTCCAAAATTAAATTGCATTAATTAAAAAGCCTCTCTATTTTTTTCTCTATAAGCAAAGTACATAGTGTCTCTGTTCCTTGGACCACACTAGTCTTGGAAGACTTTTGGAAGCACTGTCTGCCTTAAATTGTTTTCATGAAAAAGCACAGATATTATTTCCACCAGACTGGAGGAAATAATCCCATATTTACACACTTGGGAACCACATGCCTCATTTTTAAGGAGGACTTTGCTTCCTGGAGGCTTGATTAGGAAGCCAATATTAATTTTACAGTGTAAAAGTAACATGTGATTATAAAAAACGGCCTCAAGAGACTGCCATAGAAAGTACATATGATTCAAAGAAGTGATAAATGGAAAACAATGCATGAATTTATCCTCAGTTCATATGGACAAAACAACCGGAGAGAAAAAGGCAAACCTTCAGCTAACCTGCACAAGGAGTCCATTCAGCTATCCAGTATTTGTGCAAAAAATCAATTAACTCATTAATTTAATTATTTCAATAAACAATTCCTTCAAGTTCGGGTATCAGTTTATTACATGAATGTGATAAAATGAAAATCAAAACTCACGATGTGGCTCCACCATCATCATTGCTTCCTTCTCAGACATAACGAGCTGACAGAACTGGTCCCCAACATTGGCCAAGATATATTTAGAGGTCTCTAGGTCAATTCCCTCAGCAGGAGAACATGATGGAATCCACAAACTCATAGCATCAGAGTCACTTTGCTGGGGATTCAAGAAACCCTCCACTCGTAGAATGCCCTTCCGAGTAAATATCAGCCTGAAGTAGAACAGGATGGGTTTGTTAAAAAACATAAAAAGGTAAAGGTAGTCCCCTGACATTAAGTCCAGTCATGTCTGACTCTGGGGTGTGGTGCTCATCTCCATTTCTAAGCCGAAGAGCCAGCGTTGTCCGTAGACACCTCCAAGGTCATGTGGCCGGCATGACTGCATGGAGCGCCGTTACCTTCCCGCCGGAGCGGTACCTATTGATCTACTCACATTTGCATGTTTTAGAACTGCTAGGTTGGCAGAAGCTAGGGCTGACAGCGGAAGCTCACGCCGCTCCCCGGAATCGAACCTGCAACCTTTCGATCAACAAGCTCAGCAGCTCAGTGCTTTAAACCACTGCGCCACCGGGTGGTTATCAAAACATAGTGGTTATCAATTATTTTTCACCAGAAATCTGGGTGAAAGTTTTTTCTCTAAGGTCTTCCCCAGCCTTGTGCTTTCCAAGAGTTTCAGATTTCAGCTTCCATAATCCATCACTACTCAGTGTATTGACCCAGAGATGATAGGATACAGAATCCAAAACAACTTAAATGCAATAGAAAAATGTTACATCTGATCAGTTTATTTCTGAAAATAATAGGAAGCTAGTTTTTAAAACCTATTTGCATCCATATTAATGAACTTTCTAAAGGACAAGTATGGTGAATATAATGGTACAACCAAGCAATGCCCCTACTTCTGTGGGTTCTTAGTAAGGATAATTTAGGATGTAGAAACATTTGTCAACTACAAACATTTACACTCAACATTAAACCATGTATGTACACATAAAGAAAAAAATGGTTCAAGAGCATTCAATGGATATTGTATTTTATTTATTTTATACATTTCTACCCCGCCCTTCTCCCCACAAGGGAGACTCAGGGCGGCCTCACATAAGCATCAGATACATATACACCACAAGAATTACAATCGAAACAGTAAGAATCATAGAATCATAGAACTGGAAGAGACCTCACGGGCCATCCAGTCCAACTCCCTGCCAAGAAGCAGGAATATTGCATTCAAATCACCCCTGACAGATGGACATCCAGCCTCTGTTTAAAAGCTTCAAAAGAAGGAGCCTCCACCACACTTCGGGGCAGGGAGTTCCACTGCTGAACGGCTCTCACAGTCAGGAAGTTCTTCCTCATGTTCATTTTAAATCATTTAAAAATATTATACAAATTCATCAAATAAATCATTTAACAATAAATTAACGTGCCAATAAAACCAAAACCAAGCAGGGAAAATCCAATGTTGCAATCCAATGTATATATTCAAGGTTTAATTCAGTGATTAACCTTAGTGCAAGGTAAAATTTACCAAGTGCAAATTATATTGTGATACCATTATATACTATCAATGGTTCTCAACCTAGGGTCCCCAGATGTTTTTGGCCTACAACTCCCAGAAATCCCAGCCAGTTTACCAGCTGTTAGGATTTCTGGGAGTTGAAGGCCAAAAACATCTGGGGACCCCAGGTTGAGAACCACCGTAGTAGATTGTTTTTAAAGAGGTGACATATAAAATACTTCAACAAATCCAACTTAAATTAAAAAACATTTGCTTTTAATTTAGAAAATTTATCTCATTACTCTGATACAAGTTCACAGGCTAGCTTTTCCATAATGCATGAGAAAGCCTTCAGAAACACTACCACAAATTGCAATGATCATTACAGAAACTGCACACAATTCTTAATGTGCTGAAATGTTTTGTGAAAGTCATAGAGGCGGAACAGTTTATTCAACAGCCAAGAAAAATGAAAACCAGCTCTGAGAGGTTCATTACCTGCGGAAGTGGAAGAAGCGGCAAGCCACAGTAGAGTCATCCTGTTCCTGTTCCTTGAATTTCCGGTAGCGTTCCAGACGGCATTCTCGACATTTGTGCAGGTGAGGTGCGACATTGATGCAGGAGCCATCCTGGAGAAATGGTTCCCCTGACTGCTTCAGCTTCCTTACCTTACTCATGTCTTTCAGTACAGACTGGCCAACTATAAAGTAAAAAGCACTCCAATTAAAACAAAGTAAGAAAGGATACCCAGTTTCCAATAGTATCTACTGAATCTTGTACAAGAGCCAGCAAATCAGGAAACAAAAAACTGATGATGATGAGAAAGAAGCCAACAGAGCGAACAGAAAAGAATGTTGGGCTCTGCCCGGCCAACTTCCACCTGGGGAACCGTCCAAGCAGGCAAGGATGGCTCCTCCTGTCTATCCAGGGAATGTAACCAAGGGGAATCTTGTGACCCTCAAAATGTTGCTGAACTATATTTCCCATCCTCTATTGAGGCTGCCCAAAAATGAGATACTCTGGGAGTAATAGTTAAACTTCTGGAGATCCAAAGATTCCTCACATTCTGCCCTAGGCTCCTGTTATTCTTTATCGAAATTAAGATCATTCTTTTCCCTACCTGCCATCAACACCCTGGTTATCTCACACGTATAGTAGTCAAGCTATGTAGGTCTGACCCACACTGTTCTTTATGCTGCATGACCAATGTGTCATATGTACAGTCTATTAAACAAAGCTAACATGCAATATGTAAATACCAAGCAACAGCAGTAGTAAATATGATCAGACTCTCACACTGTGCTAAAGATCTCTCCATGCAAATCTATATATCTATATCAAATAATCCTAAATGTATGCTGATGGCTCTCTAGACTTCACAATCAGAGGCCTCATATATTTATACACACATATAAATATTTTAGAGCCATATATTCTCACATATTTATTCACATACACATCTAATTATTTATCTTACTATTTACTGCAGCTTAACAACACCCTCTTTCCAATGCAACTTTTGAGTGTTATTCTGCTAAAGCCTTAGTGGGAAGACCTAAGAGCTTCCTACAAGTAATCAATAGTTTTGCATGATTCCTGAAACACTTCCTACACAATGCTCAAATTTATTCTGTTTTTTAAAATTAAGGAACTACCCATATTGTAGATATAATGCAGTCTCTGGATAATAATAATAATCTTTTATTTATATCCCATCACCATCTACCACAGGGACTTGGGGCAGCTTACAAATAGCACACATGATACCACACCACATATACTGTAGATCAACAATAAAAATACAATAACTTATTTAAAGCCAGACATCTAAAATTGATGAAAATAAATGCAGCAATAGTCATGGATTAAAAATCCATGCAATCACAATTTAGCTTTCCCTGGCTAAAGAATAGTCTGGTTGCTATCTAAGGCCTGTTGAAATAACCAAGTTTTTAGTTCTTTCCCAAAGTGCTGTAGTGATGGATGGTACCAGGGATATCCCATCCCTTTCCCCAAGCCCTACTAAATGAAGGGGGAGATTCTCCCACTCATTCTGCCAACTATATGCACAGTCTAGTTGCATAAAGGAGATTGCGTTGCTAATTTAGATCACTAACAATCTGCTTTATGGGACAAGCAAATGGTATAGGAAAAGCTAACTGCTAACCAAGTTCTATTCTTCTGAAACAAGAAACGGGCATCGAGGGGGTAAATGGGTTCAATACCATCAGGGAAAGGGGTCCCATCACTTTGTATTATCCTGTCTATTGGACTATCAGGGGGATATTCTGGCCTCCAAGAACAAAGTGGTCCACTGTCCTTATATAAACCGACCTCTTGCATACCTGATCAAAAAGAAAGGATGTCATTATTTCTGCAGAGCAGTATCTAGTTGCCAGCAGTTCTAATTAACTTTGTGTACCATAACTTTTTCACTTCTGTGTCTCAATGTTTCAATGCCACAATATAAGACAATATAAGACAGCTTCCCATGCTCTTGTGTGAGAGCTCTGGTCCATTGAACACAAATGAGGAAATTAACAAAGGTTTCAAGAAGTTCTTTCAACTCTACTTGATTGAATTCAAGATTTTCTACAAGCACAGCATGTTACCCACTATGAAACACCTCCCTTTCCATCTAATGCATGTTAAAGAACCCTATTTTGATCCTGATGCCTTGTTTTGGCAGTATAATGATAAAAGCAATGCTTTATCCTGCTTTTTGCCTCTAAAGGACCCCAGATTGGGGTCCTTGTGACCATACAGAAGATGTGCCAGCACAGGACATGTGGTGCATCCCCAGTCTTTTCCAAATAACCAAAGCCTACTGTAATGAAATGCCCAATTAAAGTATAAGTTTTAGATATGTTCATTAATATTAGCTGAGAGGTGGACAGACGCCCCAGGCGTTGCCATAGTAACACTGCCTCTAGGCAGGAGAGAAAAAAGGGGCGGAGCCAACTGTCACTGGAAAAAAGAATGTTGGTTTAAAAAAGAGTCAGTTGGTCTCTGGATAAGCTTAAGGGCAGTTAGTGAGTGAAGGTCAGGAAGGACAGCAGCTGGAAGATTGGTCATAGGAATAGGGCAAAGATAATATGGAGTGTGTTTTCAAGTAGTAATGTAACAGTCCTTTAGGAGAAAGGAAATACATTGAATGAAACGCATATTGAAACTGAGTTACTGTTTCAATTAAACTCTCTCTCTCTGTCTCTCCCTGCCTGAAGACTGCCCTGCTCGTTCGTTTCATCTACATTGTAAATTATTCACCTTTGAGGGGGGCTGTGCGAGGCCTGCCTTTGGGGGTTTGCTTTCCTTTTCCCTTGCACATTAGCAGGGCAACGTTCCGCTCGCCATTGGGACCCAGTTTTCCAATCAAATGCTCTGGGATTCCCTTCAGGCAAGCTTTGGTGTGCAGCTGCTCCTCAGAGTCACTCATATCAGAGAGGTCACTGTTGGTGCTAGAATCCGAGTCTTGCTTGGATGGCATGCTCCGCTCATCAAGAGAGAACCTTTTCACAGTTTCAAAGGGGGCTTTGTTCTCTGGCGGTGGCTCTGCCTGCGAAGAGAAAAAGCCAGACGGATGTCTGCCAAACACATTAGAAAAAGTTTTCATAAGGGGATTGTCCTGTTGCCCAGGCCCAACAGATGGTTTTTCTTCTGTGGGACTGGAAGAGAGTGTGGGCATTTCAATAGGCTGTGTCAGGCTGCCGACAGGTGAGCTGGAACGGCCATTCCCCAATGCAGATGATGCCTGAACGCCAGCAAAGAGAGTTGAACTAGGTGCACTGGAGACCATTTTAGAGGAATCTGTTGTTATAAACAAGCTCTTCTTTTTAGCTAAAGAGTCAGTTGAGGTGTGCAAATCTGGCCAGCTAGCGGTTGTCTTGGAACCAAGAACCGAAGAGGGAATAGTAGATATGCCTGGCTGAGATGAGGAAGCAAAACTACTGAAAGGACTGAGTTCTGATTTTTCAGCAAATGCCAGGAAAGGGTTTGAGGGTTCTTCTCGTGACAGTTTTGGGGGCTGCAAAAAAAGATTCTCATGATTATCTGGAGGTCGTGTAGTCATGAGGCTTCGTGGAAAAGCTGGTGTAAGGGTGGGCATAGACTCCCCCGGCAGTTTCCGCTCCACAGAAGTGCCCAATGGAGTCCCAAGTTTAACTTCTCCTGTAAGACCTTGGCCCTTGCAGACGCCCGAACTCAGGCTCTCTGAACTTTTTTTCAATGAGTCCTGATTAGTTGGCCCTTCAGGAAGATTCTCAGACAAGGCTGTGAAGTAATTACTGGAAGGAAGACTCTGAGACATGCACTGAAAAAACAAGTTCTTTGACAAATCAGAATCTTTCTGAACTTCATGACCAGTGCTTGTACTAAATGGAAATCCAACAGGCTTCTTCTCTGGGGTGACTACTCCATTGGACTGGCTGCGCCCACTGTCAAATGCCAAAGGTTGAGAAGCACTTGAGTGTGTCACTCCAAAGCCTGGAGAAGCTGACATTAAACTTTGGGAATTCTGAAACAAAATAAGACATCAGTTAATTTCTCTCTCTCGTGATTTAACATTCAGAAGACTTTCCCCATCCATGTTAAAATTCTCTCCAGTAAACTAACTTTCTATTAGTTCTGATCAATTTATGTCACATCGCAAAAAAAACCAACAAAAAAACCCCAAAAAACTTATTGTCCAACAAATGCACTTTGGCAAGACGCTTGAATTAACTGACCATTTTCCAAATCTAAAGACGGGCTTTAAAAACTTGACTTTGATAAGATAAAAGAAATACATAAGAGGGAGAGAAAAAAAAATATTAAGATCAGGCATTGTGATATAATGGTTAGATTGCTGGAGTGGGACCTGTGAGATCTAGATTCAAGTCAGCACTGGGCCATGGAATCTACTGATAGAACATCTTCCACCCTACCCAGCCCTCCCACTGCGTTTTTGGGGCCACACTGAAGGCTCTAGTGCAGGTCTACACAAGCTGCAGTCCTCCAATTGTTTTGGCCTCCAACTCCCAGAATTCCTGGCCATTGGACAAGCTGCCTAGGATTTCTGGGAGCTGGATGCCAAAACAGCTGGAGGGCTACAGGTGGTGCAGATCTGCCTCTGCCCCAAAATTTTATCTCAATTTTTGGTACAATCATTGTTCTGGAATGGTTTTACACAAGTTAATATTACAAATAGATTGATCATTCTTGGAAAGTGTCAGTTGTGATATGCCTACCTCTTCCCTCATAATTAATTATGCCACTCTTTCACCTAATAATTGTACTAGGGAAATCAAGGCACAGTAAACGGTGTACTTATATATAAATGGTACCCCTTATATAAAATAGCAAATAGTTTGTTTTCTGAAATTCAGTTTCAATATTTTTGAGCCATGGTTGGTTGAATCCATGTGACCTGCCTCGAACCATGAGGAGAGGCAGGTAAAATATAAAATGATGATGATGACTGTGACTGCAAGTCACAGAAACTGCAAGTCACTTCCTGTGTGAGAGAATTGGCCATCTGTTACCCAGGGGACGCCTGGATGTTTTACCATCCTGTGGGAGGCTTCTCTCATGTCCCTATAATCATGTTATTATGATGAATAGAGAGGACTATTTACATTTATTACAACAGAAAAATATCTTTGGATTCTTATTTGCTGCACTATACTTCTGTACATCTCCCAAACAGGGCTATTCTAAGATTTGAACAATGTGATCAGAACACAGTGCCCGAAGGTGCTATTAAAATGCTGGCTATTACTACATGAGCTGCAAACAACTTACCTCTCCCTGGGTTTGCAAACGACCTGATTTCGGTTTTTCCTGCCCAGTAATAGCTGGCAGGCAAGTATCTGATGGCCTCGCAGTAGTTGATGTTGTCCCAGCTGTTGTAATTACCGCAGGGGCAGCCACTGGGCCTTGACTGGCTGGCTCTAAGGTTTTTGCCATTTCTTGACTTCCCACTCCACTCAGCAGTGCTTGGGCAGTAGCTGAAGAAAAGGAAGTGAAGGGCACAGGTGTGTCACCACCTACTGGCTTGTCCCGGACCACAAGAGTTCGTCCATTTTCCTTTGTGTATGTGGCAAAACGCATATCACGATTAACTTGAGGAGCAAAAGGTGGAAGCTGTGTGTCTTGTGAATCCAGAGCCACATCACCACCGATACTTCCTTGCCAAGCTCCCCTGGTTGCCTCACCTCCATCATTTCCATTACTATCCACTTCACCCCTTTCCTTGAGTTTTTTAGTTGCATGATCACACCCAGTTTCAGAAGCATTCTTCCTCCGTCGCCCATCTTTCCCTTCAACACTTTCTTTTTTCTTTTTCCCCTTTGAGGATTTAGCAGCCTTGAGGGAGCCTCCCTATAACAAATAAAAAGCACAGATCACTCCAGGAATTATTTAAGACTTCTGTCATCTTTATCTATCTGATATATCATATCATTTTACTAATAATATGCTGCTTTAAACAATAAATTTAAATGCCACCATTCAGCTCTACAACAGTGTTCAAAACTTACTTTATCTATGGATTTGATTCCCGTGGATTTCACTGAGACCTCTTTCCAAATAAGTCTAATTAACACTAAGGGGTTCAGTGTAAAAAAAATTGAATGCTTCCTACACAGAGATTTGCTTTCCTTGTGTACATACAAGGCCCTTCCCCGCCCAGGCAAGTAAAGACAGGAATCCCCATGATAATCCTCAATGGCCCATCTCTTTTGCACTCTCAGTTGAATTCTGCAAAGTGCCAGCTGAAAGCATTTTAGCTCTCCATGCAGGTCTGTGGGTCCTAGCTGAGAGAACATCACATGTAGAGAAGTGGAAGCAATAGCTTTAACCATGTTTTCAGTCAGCAATTGCATGTGCCAGCTGAGCCCTGATGCTGGGATTCACCTAATACCTACAAATACTCCTTCTTCCCCTTAAACATAATTGCTTATATTTTTAAAATATGGTACCTCATTCAAAGCAGATGTGTCCATCACAACATGAATCAGTCGAGGATCAACTGACTTGATTTCACCAGTCTGATTTTTATATAGTGGGGGATGTTTTTTTGGGGGGGGGGGGAGAGAAGAGAGAAATCCAGTATTAGAGAGTATGCATGTAACCATCATGGATATATTTACACTTCCTCAAAAGACTGTTTTAAAGTAGTCTGAATTAAAGAATGGAATGTTCTACATTTCCCCTGAAACCACCTCTGATTCTGCAGTAGTCAATATGCCGAGACGGTTTGAACATAACATTAAACTATGGTTTTACTGTTATATGCATAGTCTGAATTCTTTGCCTCTCTACTTATATGCACAAGCTGTGTCTTCTGGTGTGTGCCAGGGAATGGAAGTATTCACTTTAGCATTAAACTAACCAGACTTGTACCCAAACTTGATGAACTCTATTTAAACTCTAGTTAGCAAATAAGTGAATATGACAATCCACCGTTTCATGTGTGATAATTAGAGTCTAAACAAATTCAAAATGTAAAAGAGAATGAGGATAAATTCACAAGCCATAGACTTATCACAGACAAGTATATGCTACCAAACTATGGTTTAGCATTATGCTTAATGTGGTCTATTGTGTGAATCCAATCCAAGCTTTAGAAAGAATCACAGAATCATAGAATAGCGTTGAAGAAACCACATGGGCCATCTAGTCTAACCTCCTGCTATGCAGGAAAAGCACAATCAAAGCACCCCTCACAGATGACCATCCAACCTCAGTCAACTCGCACCTCAGTCAAAACCACCTCCATCAGACGAGTGATAGGATCTTGACAGCTCACTACAGCAGAGACCCAGCTATTTTCCTCTTCTGGTTGATACACCTTTACACGTTGACCCTGGATGGTATAAGGACCTAAGGAGAAAGTTCCACATGAGAATACAATAAATCAATTCTGTGCCACTTCACCAAGGGCAAAAGGGCTACATTTTAAAATTAACTGAACTAACGTCTCAAGCCTTCAGGCTTGAGAAAGGTGGGATAGAAGTATCATAAACAAATAAACAAGTTGAAATCCTTTTCATCACTGCTACACAAATTAATTACTCTAAAGTCAACAGTTCCTATCAATCTTAATAGCCAAGCAGATCAACTGTGATTATTATTTGGATCCTGGTAGAACACCTATGAGTATCAGGTGCTGTAAGCTATACTTCAAAGGAACAGGCAAAACCACATCTGAGTACTCTTTGCCTTTAAAAAATCCCTATCAAATTAATGGGCTCACCATCAATCCACAGGTAACTTGAAGACACGTGTATCAATAGTATGATGCAAACATAGTCTTGCGGATTATGCGAGGCTTTCAAAACAATAAATACGAAATTTCTCAGTGTTTATGTTCTTCTGCAAGTGTGACATGGTATTTTTACTGACCCACTCTTGCCTAGATGCATCAGTGATCTCTTGGCATTGTAGCAGTAATCACTGTATCCTGCCAGGGATTATCCACTGTGTTTCTGCCTCTTCCCCACCAAGTATTTCTCATAGGCAAAGTGGCAATTTTCTTTTCTAATGCGGTGAGAAGCAAATCTTGCATACTCTTGCAATGATTGCTGGGGAAGGAGACTTGAACATTTAAGAACCACTGCTTTACACTAGAGGCAGAGAATGAGAACTTAGTACTTAGCATTCTTGGGTGCTAAGAGGAGCAATACATGCAATCTTGGGTTACACCCCATTCACCAATTTTTTTAGTTGCAACCATTGGCACCCTTCTCTTGGTTAACAGTATAATTCTACAGCCCTGTCTAAATAAACTTAACCCAAAACATCCTAATTTATATATATTTAATTCATGCTTTTTTCATGTGCAACCATCCCCAGACTGGAATGTATTGCTCCTCCTACCATCCAAAAACAAACATTCACAATAAGTAGCAACCTTTCATTTTCTGGATGGTTAGGAGGAGCAATGCAAATACTCTTGGGAGATACTTACACCACAAAATGATGGATGGGAGTGGTTGCTTCCAATTACCTGTTTGTAGCACCATGTAGTCACCAGCAATCTGAACTGACCTACATTTATCTATCTTATTGATGGCTCCTTCCAGCCGGCAGCATTTCAAACTTCATCCAATGAAGCAGATTCTGCATACCCTGCAGCTGCTGCCATACAGCAAGTAGAATGAGGTCACACATGAATCAGCCTTTGACCCCTCATAGTGATGGCACATTTTATACACTTTTAACTGCTGAGCTATTATTTGCTTCAATATTTTATTCCAAAAGTCCAGGGGGGGAAGGAAACAAACAATGATTCTAAGCACCTGAAATCTAGTGTTCCTCAGGTGTATTCTTTAACACCCCTTTTAACATCTAAGATAAGGCATTTCCTTCCAACAGACGTCGTGAATTTGGACAAAAATTAAGCACATTTCCTGATAGACTCCCTTATTAATTGTATTTTATAGAAGAAAAATTGGATATAACAACAAAGTTAATTTGCCTTGGTCAATCCTGGACAGATTGTGATCATTGATAGGGCAGCAAATTCTGAAATCTCCTTACTGATATAAAACCAATAAAACTACCTTGAAAGAGAGGAGTCACAATGGATCCTCCTTAAGGGGCTGCTAGTATTTTGAACAATAAGTTTAGATCCCAAGTATTTATGCATTTAGAACCTCACTGTAGTCCATTCCAGATACAGGTTGGGTATTCCTTATCTGTAATACTTAGGACCAGAGGTATTCTTTATTTCAGCTCCTATCCCCCACCCCCCAGGTTTTGGGATACCTTGGAAATAGGACCCAAATTGAAACACAGAAGTCATTAATATTTCATGTATACCTTATATACATATGCAGAAGGGAATTCAATACACAACATTTAAAAACAATTTTGTGCATGGAACAAGGTTTGTATATATTGAACCAACATTAGAAAAAGCAAAGGTTTCACTATCTGTGCCACCTGGGTGGGGATTTTGGATTTTAGAGGATTTTGAAATTATGGACAACGGTTGCTCAACATTTATTTTGCTATACATGGTGTAAAGCAGGAGTCCTCAAACCTTTTAAACAGAGGGCCAGGTCACAGTCCCTCAAACTACTGGAGGGCCAGATAATAATTTGAAAAAAGCATGAATGAATTCCTATGCACACTGCACATATCTTATTTGTAGTGCAAAAAGCACTTTAAAACAATTCAATAATTAAAATGAAGAACAATTTTAACAAATATAAAATTATTAGTATTTCAATGGGAAGTGTGGGCCTGCTTTTGGCTGATGAGATAGGATTGTTGTTATTGCTGTGTGCTTTCAAGTCATTTCAGACTTAGGTTGACTCTGAGTGAGGGCTGGGTAAATGACCTTGGGAGGGCCGTATCCGGCCCCCGGGCCTTAGTTTGGGGACCCTTGGTGTAAAGGGTCAGAACAGAACAATGTGCTGTTAGTGGAATGACCTTGATTTGCACGTTATGCACTTCCACTTCTGCCAATGATTCAGAAGGCGCTGACAAGGATTCAAAAGGACAAGCCACAGTGGTGCCGATAATTCTGTATTGGTTCAAGTGCCTGCACTTTCAAAACCTGACTAAGGTGTCAGTTGAGAGGTAGCCAAAAGACAGAAGTTGTTACATCTGAGGCTGATACTACATCCAAATCAGGACTGGTTAAGTTTAACCGCTTAGATATTAGGAGAACTACCTTGAGACAAGGATATACTGAGAAAGTGATTGATATAATTTTAGCAGCCAGAAGCAATTCTGCTCAAAGATATGACCTAGAGGCCTTTTAGGAATTCAATGCTAAAGTGAGTGATGTGCTTGATTTCCTCCAAAATGAAATTGTAAAGGGGTTATGACCAAACACATTAAAGAGGCACGTTCTGGCTTTAGCAACAGTTTTCAGACTAGAGGGGAATGAGCTTATAGTACATCCTCATGTGAAGAATTTTTTAAGAAGAGATTGCGATCATACTCTCTGCTTCACTCTCACTAGATATAATAAATATTCTTTTCAATACTGTCTTATCTTTATCATCAGAGACATGCTGGGTAGCTGACCTCTTCTGAGATTTAGTATTTTTATTAATTTCTGGTCTCCTGATCTGCTGCGTAGCAGTCAGTGAGTTCATTTGTTACCCTTATCTGACGTAGTTTGTTTTTTAATTCTTCCGCTTTCCCTTTGTCTGACTTCTCTTCCATTACCTTTATTCTTTAGAGTTTCCCTTCATTATCCCAGCTTGATATTTAACCCTTTAATATTTTAATATGAGCAAAGGGAATACATGTCCAGCTGGCAGGGCAAGAAACAAAAACCAGCAGAGAGGGATGGGAGTCATCATTTGTAACTGAGAATTTTGGACACCTGCCAAGTCAGCTAGTGCACTACATAGGGAATAACACTATAGTACATGGACTGCTTCTCCTAACCACCCAGAGAACATGCAGCCCTCTAGATTTTGACGGGCTCCCACTGCCTAAGTTCCTGGGAGCAAGGCCCGGCTTAGCAATGGTGGCAGTTATAAGGTAGAGAACCACAAGTTATCCACCTCTGATTGAAACCATAATCTGTGTATAGAAGGAGATACCCACGTCCAATGAAATTTTGTGCATTTATGTATGCACTTCTATCATTTCCCAGAAAACAATGAGGTATTATTTCAAATTTGCTACTAATACAGAAAACATCAGTGAGAAATTCTAAAATCTGAGTTAATTACTGTTCTTGTTTTCACATACATAGCTTACTTAGTCCCTGGGGAAAATATGATCTGCTTGGTGTGCGTAAATATTCTATAAGGTGGGTGTGAAGCTCACCAACAGAGTAAGGACAGCACATTCAACACTCGTGTGTACATTTTGCTTTTTTTGTGATTAGTGCCCAATGCAACAAAATCCCAAAACCAAACCACCATCAACAGTTAGAAAATCTAAAAACTCTCAACTGCAGTAGCAGCCACACACACTCCGCTCAACAGGTCTCTCTGAATATAATCAGCAAAATGCCAAAAACAGGGTTAGGCAGGTATCTTTAGCAAGGCATGAAAACTTGGCCACTGCCACTGAAAAGGTCCTCTCCTGCAACCCCAAATATGTCTGTAACATGGCCAGGACATACAGAAAAAGTAACTTGTGAAAAAAGTGACAACCTTGCTCCAAATCATTTAGGGTTTTAAAAGTCATGACCATCATATCAAACTGTACCTAGAAACATACTAAAATAAAGGAAAGCAACCGTAACATGGAAATGGCATAAGGAAGTAACTAAACACATGGAAGAGTCTAATCATAGAAAGGAAACTTGCACACATTTTTCAAAGGCAGCCCTAAATACCTACACATTATAATAACCTGAACTTGATGGAGCTCAAGTTTGGGTCACTGCAGTGAGACGTGGTATTAAAAAAATAGGCAAAGCTGGAATAGTACTCCAGTCCACAGCTCAGCATGCTAAAATCCAAGATTAAAAACAATCAAGAAATAAACTAGTTTTCAACAAGACCACCACTAAAATCCAAGAGGTATCTATGAGTTTGAGAAGCAATGTAAGAAAAACAAGAAAGCAGCCTCCTGCAAATGCAAGGATTATTTTAAACAGTAGTTAAGAGCAGAATCTAACTATCACAAGAAAATACATACACATTTTAAGCAACAAATCAGCTGGTCTTAAGGTAAAGGTAAAGGTTTTTCCTTGACATTAAGTCCAGTTGTGTCCAACTCTGGCAGTTGATGCTCATCTCAATTTCTAAGCCGAAGAGCTGGCATTGTCCATAGACACCTCCAAGGTCATGTGGCTAGCATGACTGTATGGCGTGCCATTACCTTCCTGTCGGAGCGGGACCTTTTGATCAACTCACATTTTCATGGTCTTACCTCTGCTAAATATCTCCTGGAGCTTCTGATCACTGATCAATGTATTGACAGCTTCCCTCAATATAGGCTCTTTTTGGAGAAATTGGTTCTGACTTTCTGTTGCCATCTGCCAAGAAATGTTTTCTACATGAAAAAAGCTGTTCAGGGAATGGATGAAAGCATAATGATATTGTCTACAAGTCATGATTTCTTTGTTTCCTATTTCCTGATCCTCATTCTCCATAATAACAGGATTATGAGTTCCAAGACTCCTTCTAAAATCTGACAAACACAGCTGTGGAAAAAAGAATGATAAATACCCTGCTGCATTTGTTGCATAATGTTTATACAATACTTACATCTTCACTCAAGAATTACTTATTGAAAGAACACGCTGGACTGAGATCTTTTTGCACAGTGCACCTTTGCAATGTAATGCGGAAATCTTGCAGTCAAAAGCCAAAACAATTATGTTGCATAACATAACATTTTAAAGTCAGCTGGTCTTACATCTGCTAAATGTCTTTTGAAGTATTTTGATTTCCAAAGTAAAAATCAAGTTGCCTATACTCTTCTAATATGAAGATTTTTTTCCCCAAGCACAATAATTTGAGAGATATATTTTTAAGTGTCTCCTACCTGATCACTAATAATAAAGCCCCACAATTAGGTTTGGCGCATTTAATTCTTTTTAGATGACTGTAATAGCACTGAAGTACTTTAAATTAAACTCAATGGTTCAAGGTTCAAAGAACTACTTTAGGCACACCCAAGTGGAATTAGTTTCTCTTCAGAATCCCGTAACACATTACAAAGTCATTTAAAATTTACCAGTTTCAAAAGCAGTTTGTCAAGGGGCATGGCCAATGCTACTGCAGGAATATAAACCTAAATGTCTCTCCGAACTGTATGATCCAGTTCAGAGCCTTAGATACTTAAATTCCTAAATGAAGATGGTGTGAAAATGTAAAACTAAAAGGAAGGTGTACCAAAGTATCCAGACCATATTGTACTCTGAACTTTTAGTTAAATCACAACCACTAAAATCTATACCTTCAGTTTGTGCACCTCTAATTTACCTGGAAGAGGCGTAATCCATTGGCGTCAGACAGGAATCTCAAGTCTCGATCTACAAGGGATTCTACTGGAACCACAGAACCTAAACCCAGCTTATCTACTAAAGGAGTGAAAGTCTGTGAACAAGAAGAAACAAGAACAAAAAAAAAGGTAAGAGCACCCTTATTTGAAAAGAGATTCTCACAGATTTCAAACTGGGCCTACTGCACATATGTGTTCAGCCTGCTTATTTTACTAGAATAATACAGCATTATTGAAGCTAAAAGGTCATCAACACCACCTTATGTAACTACATTAAAAACTACTGCAGTGGTAAGTTTTACTGGTATGAATTCTTCAGTTATTGGGACAAATAGAATTCAGATTATCCTTTTTTTTAAAAAAAGGCATTGTTTAATTTATTTCATATTACTGTCAAAAAGAAAGGAAAACATACTCACCAATGCAGGCCAATGCTCAACCGACACTCCAGTTCCCTGAAGCAGAACTGGCTCGTTCCGAGGAATCCAAACCAGAGATCCTTCCAGCATCAGAACTATAACTTCTTCTGCATGAACCTTTACCCAAGCATGCTGATTCCAGCTGCACCGGTCAAATTCCACAAATATCTGCAACGGATTCCAGAATTTCTTTCAATCACAAAGGTGAGCAAAGTTAGACAACCAGGCAATCAAAGGTGTATTTTAAATAAAGGTCTATAAATATCAGCTTGCCTTATCAACCAAGCCTCTATTCTCTGTTGTTGAATGCATTTGATTCTAACTTAGGATGTCCCTAAGATCATCCAGTCACAGGGTTGGATGACTAGATTCCTTCCAAGGAGATTCGCCATTGCCTTCCTATGAGCCTGAATGAGTGTGAGTTGCCAAAGGTCCACCCGTGAGTTTCCATGGTGGAGTGGGGATTTAAACTCTGGTCCCACAGAATCCTAATACAACAGTGAAGCATTACATCGCAGTACCTGCCTCAGGAACGAGCTATGTTTTCTGTGGTTAAGTGATGATAAGAAAAACCAAAAATAAAACAGAAGTATATTTACTAGTTTATTTTTAGCCTTTCCAAATTGCTGAGTTTCAACACTTATTCTCTCTGTGTTCTGGTCAGCATGCAAGATGTGGTAGAGAGGCAGTCTCCTCTATCGAAAGGTGCTGATAAGACACAGCTGGAGAAATGTTTATTTTTTTTCTCATGTAAAAGAATCTCAGTGTGAGGACAAAATGCAAAGCCTTTCAAGGTGGCAACAGGAAAAAGCAAGGACTTTGTAGTCCTGTAGAAAACTTTGTGAAATAATGGGGGAGGGGGTGCCTTCTTTTGTTTTTACCATAGCTTCTTGCAAGTCTGAAAATATTCTGCCTCTCCTTTTAGCTCTCTAGTCAGAATGGACAGCTAGAAGGAGATATGAGCATTCTTTCTCAGAACATCAATCAACTGCTTATCTTAATGTTCTGTTTTTTAAAAAAACATTTTGCAAAAGAAGATTCCAGCTCAGGCAAGAGGGGAAATTAATTTTGAAGAAATTTTGGAAACCAGAAAAAGCAAGAGAAGTGCTTGTTACCTGTCTTCTTAAATAGAAGCACACGTCAGAATCAGTCATAGACTACAAGCACCCTGACACAAAAATGATTAAGAGCACTGGTGTCCAATTCTGAATTCACATCTTGTACAGCAGTGGTTCCCAATCTTTTTCTGACCAAGGACCACTGGACCAGGGACCACACTCCAACATTAGTACCAAAAAGGTTACGAATCAGTTTTTGATCAACTTTAGATTCAGTTTGGGGTGCTGATTCAGAAAATTGCACTGGATAGACCACATCAGCTCTACTTTCTGATACAGAACATATGCCATGGTCAGAGACAGGGAAGGAGTGGCATGCAGCGTGAAAGGAATGAGGCTTGTGGACCAGATTTTCTTCCTCACAGCTCACTGGTGGTCCACCGCCCACAGGTTAAGAACCACTGTTGTACAGAATAGTATTATTATTATGCTTATTTATATCCCACTTTTTCTCTCCATACAGAGATTCAAAGTGGCTCACAACTAAAAGCATTGCAATACAACTTAAAATATGCAAATATACAAGCATTAAAACAGTACTACGCATTAAAAGCATATAAAACCACAGTAGCCCCTGACGATATTAAAAACCTTCCCCTTTAAAAGCCTGCCTGAATAAAAAGGACAGCAGGGAGAGAGCCCTTCTGGCTTCCCTGGGCAGGGAGTTCCAGAGTCGAGGGGCAGCCACCGAGAAAGAAGGCCTGCTCTCTTGTTCCCACCAACCGTGCTTGAGATGGAGGTGAGACCGAGAGAAGGGCCTCTACTGAAGATCTCAGGGTCTGGCCAGGTTTGTACAAGGGGATAAGATCAGTCAAACAGCCTGGACCTGAACCATCTAGGGTTTTAAAGGTCATAACCAGCACTCTGAATTCTGCCTGGTAATGGACTGGCAGCCAGTGGAGCTGTTTCAACAGGGGGTTGTCCCAGCCCCAGTGAACAACCTGGCTGCAGCTCTGTGGACCAGTGGAAGTTTCTGAGCACTTTTCAGAGGCAGACCCATGTAGAGCATGTTACAGTAACCCAGACAGGATGTAACTAAGGTATAACCAGAGCATGTCAGAATCACAGATCAACACTGTGGAATGTGATCACAAAAATAAAACTTCATTTGCCCACTGTCATATTACACTGACTTTATGGGTTATCTACACTGCAGAATTAATGCATCTTGACACTACTATAACTGCCATGGATCAATACTGTGGAATCATGGGAATTGTAATTTTGCAAGGGCTTTAGCCTCCTCTGCCAAAGAGTGTTGGTTCCTCCCCCAAACTATAGCTTCCAGGATTCCAAAGCATTACATCATGACACTTAAAACTGTGCCAAACTGCATCAATTTGACAGTGTAGGTGCACCCATATGTGATAAGTCTTTGGTACTCAGTACTGGACACATTAATTAACACTCTCTACCTTTGAGGTTCAAAATGTGACATTTTAATCTTCTGTGAATGTGTTGCTATTGATGGACTTAATAACATGCCATCTCTCTCTTAATTTCATCCTTTGATACCTGATTGATCCAACTACCTCTTATCTCTGTCCTTTTGCCTTTGCAGCTTGGGACAGATTCCCTTAGGCACCAATTTTGACCACTTGTTTTCACCAGGCTGTGTTCTGTACCTGACTGCCTTATCGCCAGTAACTTGACTGTGCTTGTAGATGCTCTTTGATCACCACGCATGCCACTAACCCAGTCTTCTTTATATAGACAGCAAATTGCTAAGTAGAACTAAAGGCAGGTGTCACCTGAAACATTTCAGCAGGAGAATGTAATACATTTGAGACTGAAAGAAGATTGGAGCATAAGCATTTGTAGGCTGACTCTACTAGATTCAATGTGAAAAAGCTTATGCTACAAGCTTCCATCTCCATGGTGTTATAATATATCTTTGCATGCTGATTCAGGCTTATATGGCTATGTCTTTGGATGTGGCAGTGTTCAAGGTATGTGATAGGATCAAAGTAAAGTTCGAAAAGACTAGCCAGAAAACAAGGATTGGTAATAAAGCTTTAGGCAAGAGATGACCAGGGCACATAAAGATAAAAGTGACAAAACTGAACAACAGATTGAATGTGGCAAACAAAAGAAAGAAAGGGGTCCTAGACAGAATGTTCCTATTCAACAGGTGGGTGATACTGAGCTATTTTTTTTTAATCAGGGAGGACTTGAGTGGGAAGATGAGATTTAGTCTTGGACAAGCTGAGACTGAGATGATGATAAAGCACTTAAGCAGAAATATCAGACAGGTAGCTGCAAATGTAAGACTAAAAAAAAAAAGGAAAACAGGTTAAGAGGAGAAATGAAGAGCTGCATGTGATTCCTGCATATATGAGATGCTGATAAAATAGGTGGCACCAGAATTTTGCTCTGATGTTACATTGCATATCTAATTAGTACAGTAAGGCTTTAATTAATTTAATCAAGTATAGGATTCCTGACTTAGTAGAGTGCTATCAAAAGTAGAAGTGTGACCATGCAATATCACTTAAAGGGAGCAAACTAACAAGGGATAAAAATCAGATAGAGAGTGTGATATTTACAAATCTGTCCTTTTGTTTGCTAATTACTTTCATATGTGCTAAGGAACTTATGAATCACACATTTTATTAGGCTAAAGCAGTAAAATAAGTGTAGATTTGATATGAAAATTGATACTGTTTATCTTTAAATTTTCTCCAAAAATATTTTTAATGTCTTCCACTGCTCCAAATTTTTCATAAAATTGATACATCTCTAAACTATCATGACTTTGAATATTTAAAAAAACCCACTTCTGTTAAACCAATGTCTAACTTTACCTGATCAGAGTATCAAGTAAAGCATTTTGGTTTTACATTTCAGTAGTTCTTAAGTAGAAACACAAGAGCAGTGTGTCACATAGTGAAATCAAACCCCATCATGCCACATTTTCCAACATAATTTTTATGCCTCCTTTTCTGAACACCTATGCAGGAAAATTCTGATACCCCTTCTCTCTCCAACTAGATATTCAAAAAGACATCTACAATAATGTCAGACGGTATAACAATATCATTGCACTAAGTCAGTTCAATACATTTTAATTTTTTATTTACTATATTTTGTGTATCTTCAAATTGCCTATCGACACATAGTGACCCCATGAATTTCATTGGATTTTTAAGGCAAAGGATACATAGAGGTGGCTTGCTAGCTACTTCCTCTCGAATGTAACCTATGGCACCTGGTATTCTCCCATCCAATTACTAATCAGAGCTAATCCCACCTAGCTCCCAAGATCAGATGGGATCTAGTGCCTTTAGAATATTTATCACAACAAAGAAAAGTTATAAAAATAGTAATAAAGACTAGTTACCTTCAAAGTAATTTTAGAAGCACAATTATAAAGGAAATGAGAAAGGGAAGTTACACTCTCTCCAGGCAACAAAATCTTGTGCAGTTAATAGGAGACTCTACTGTGGAAGTAAATATGATCATTATACAATCTTCTACTACCCAGTGTAGCATGAACAAGGCTTTTTTAAAAAAAAGAAATGACAAAAATAGGCAGATGACATTCTTTAGCATTTTTCTCATAGTTTAATTAAAACTTAAATGATAGAATTTGTGTTCCCATTGTATTACTTGTTAATGTAGACCATTACATCCTTTGTCTTAACAAATGTCTTAATAACCAGTCAATTATTAAACATTCAATGCAAAGCATCACTCATATGCACACATACAAAGCCATGATCAAACAGAATGGCATAAAAATCCAGATAGCTGAAAACCTGCTTAAGGGGCTAATTGGATTACTGGTCATTGCAGAAATATATTTACTCCAGTAAGGTTCCTAAATGACTCAGACCGTCTGATCTTGGAAGCTAAGTAGGATCAGCTCTGGTTAGTACTTGGATGGGGGCACACTAATAAATGCCAGTAGTTGTAGGCTATACATCAGAGGAAGGAAATGACAAAACCACCTGAGTATTCCTTGCCTGAAAAGGAATGCTCAGCCAACAAGCAAGTTGAAGGTATACAAGGGCAAAACAGCACACAAAACAGACGGGGTCGCACTCCCCTTGAAGGCGCAGGTTCGCAGCT